AACACCCTCCTTGAATCTGAGGAAGCCAATGGAGGCTTCCAAGGAGCCATAAGGATCTCCTGTAACATACAGGCATGCTGACAGGGAATGTACAGATATCCTCAAATTCTGAAATGGAAGGTCCCTGCCATGCCCTGATCCCTATTACTGGGCCAGATGTCCAGCTTTTCTCATCTGCAACTCCTCTTGTTTTCTGATAGCTTTTAGTAGGTCAGGTGCCAGATAATATTTCTGCAATGTGGCAGGTCCCTGTTGACAACAGCAGTGTCCAGTAAAGGCCAAGCATCCACAGATCTGATCATTGTACTTCCGCACCAAAGCGGGAGTTGGGCTTCCTAGAAAATACAAACCACCCCAGGAAGAGCTGTGCTGCTAAAAACACTCAGGGGAACCTTAATGGTAAGAGACCAGTAGCTGTTCTTTGATTGCATTTTACTGGCAAGTACCAAATACATCTCTCACCTCCTCAACCACTGCTGAAAGCAATTGTTCTTACATTGTCCATAGATTATGAGTGTAATCTATAATTTTATCATCAGATAAACCAGGCAAAATCAGGACTGCTGCACTTAATTTCTCAGCTCCCTTAGAACTTTTGTTTCTTATGGTCTGTGTACTAAAGGTGTAACACTGTCACAGTTAACAGATTAATGACAGCTTGAAGTGTAAGAGAAGGGGCAGAGGATTTGGCTTTTTGCAAGTTATGTGATGCATGAGATAGAAACTGAAGGCACTGCTGCCTGTTTTGATGGTGAATTCCTCACAGCCTGTCAGTGAATGTACAGCCCTCTTCTTTCCAAGGAGATGGAATTTAAGCACTATTGGAACAGTAAAAATGCACAAATATCTAGGGTGTAATCATGTTTAGTTACGTCACCAGAAACTGCAGAATTAAAACTTGAATGTAAATTTTCTTATTGGCTGGCTTGCTATTCTCATTGGACTGAAGTTAACTTTTACAGGTTGTTCATAAATCCCTAGAAATCCCTGATGCACAGTTTGAAAGCTACTGAACTAAGAAAGGAGGAACATAGATGTAGCAGCTGAATGACACTTTCCCCATTTTGTTTGAACTAAGAGGATAGGACTATGCCACCAGTGAAAGAGGCTGTGAACTCAATATATAGTGATTACTGTTATGTCCCCAACTTCTGTATTGTTTTTCATGTATATTAATTTTCCTCTGTCACATAAACCCGAACAGAGCTCATTTCACCTGGCTGCCTCCCTGCAGGACAAACCCATGGGAAAGCAATGCTCCCTCTGTTGCTACCAAGCAGTCAGGTAGATCAGATAAAGTGGGAGTGGAGAGTAGCCTGAGAAGAGTTCTGCAAGGTAGCACAGAGACTTAAGGCAGTGACTTTGGAGGAGCTAGCTGTGATTCTGTTAGGTGTGACAGGTGGGTGAGATGCCCCAAGAGAACTAGGGCTTGTGATCACAAGATTGCTTCTATCTGTCTACAGAGCAACTCATCCACTCTGTCATCCTGGTGGGGTGGCCTGTAGCAAAGTTCACAATAAAGTCACCTGTCCCTGTCCTCCCTTAATCCTGACTCGCCATCTCTTGGACAGCTCCTCATCAATCCCTGGGCAGAGCTCCATTCACTCCAGCTGGTCACTGACATAGAGAGTGACCCCTCCTCATCTCCCCCACTTGCTAAAGATTCTGTATCCTTCCATTCCACCACTCCAGTCCCAGAAGCCACCCCAGCACATTGCCATGATGCCAAGGAGCTGGCAGTCCTGCAGGTGTGCCAGTGAGTCCAGCTGCCTGTATTCATTCCCCATGCCTTTGCACAGAGGCAGGTAAGTCGGACTCTGATAAAGGCAAAGAAGTGGCTGGAGTGGCTGGAATTCCTTTGTGCTGCCATTCAGGTGCCCTTCTGCTGATCTGTGGTTCCTCCCAATGTCCTGGGCAGCTCTTACTAGCCCTGGCTTTAAACTGAAAGGCCTGAAGTTCCCCTACCACAACTTTAAATTAAGGCTCTCACCAACTTGGCAAGCCCATCACTGAAATTCCCCCTGTGTCAGAAGGACCCCAACAGTCCCCAGCTGGACCCCTGCCTGTGGCACCACCCCTGTCCATTTGTTGGTTTGCCAACCACATTTCAAACCCCCTTCCATTTGACTTTTGGAGAAAAAGCTACCTGTGATCCAGAAGATGATGAAGGGATTGGAGCATCTCTCCTATGAGGAAAGGCTGAGGGAGCTGAGGCTGCTCAGCTTTGATAAGAGATGGCTGAGAGGGGACCTGATCCATGTCTGACAGTGTCTGCAGGAAGAGGGATGGACCCTTGCGGGGCCCAGCAGTGGGACAAGAGGAACAGGCAGGAACCAATGCCTGGGAAGTTCCACCTGAATGTGAGGAAGAATTTCCCTGTGCAGTGACTGAGCACTGAAGAGATTGCCCAGAGAGGCTGTGGAGTCTTCATCACTGGAGATATTCCAGAACCTGGACACAATCCTGTGCAATGGGCCTTGGAATGACCCTGCTGGAGCAGGGAGTAGGACCAGATGACCCACTGTGGTTACTTCCAAGCTGCCCCATTCTGTGACTGTGCCAGGCATGTCTTCCCAGGAATTCAGGTGTCTAGGTCATGTTTTACAAGAGCTAAAGGTACCAGCCTGAGCCAGGATTAGACAAAACTGGAGCTGCTACAGCTGCACCCTGCACCTATACCAAAGAGCTGTTGGCTACCTCAGTCACTATAGGCTGTAGATTCCTGTGGCCCCTGTGAGCCCACAGAGCTCTCCTGTGTGGCCCGGTGGAGACCTCCCTGTGAGCTGGGACATTGCTCAAGGACACTACTGGAGGCTGAGACCCCCTTACCTCGCAGCTGATGTGTATAATAAGGTAACACATTTTGCATTAAAATTGTATATATTGTATACTGTATTGTGGTAGTGTGCATTCCTGGGCATTCCTTAGTTTCTGGGTAAACCCTCCCTGCAGCTGTGATGTGTTTTTCCCTTCCCCTCCCTGTCCCTGAAATGTTATCCCATTGGTTGGTGTTATATGTCTCCCGCCCCTCTCCCGAGGTTTGAAAGTACCCGGGAAATGTTTCCTCCCTCTTTTTTTCCTCCTGGATCCCAGCCTGAGTAAACATCCGACGTTATCCCGGAGGGAAAAGCAGCCCTTTGGTCTTTATCTTGGTCATGAAGAGCCTCCCTGCCCTCCCCTTGACATAGCTAGCCAGGATTAATCAGGAGGGACAAAGGGGGGCTACTTCACTGTATGTTCATGACATTTATTTATCCAGCTATAGCTTTAAGTGTAGAAGTGTAGCAGAGTCTAATCATGGTTTAAATCATTGTTGAAACCAGAAACTAAAACGTGTTTCAATTACCATTTCATTACAGCTTAATTATTATTGTTAAAGCATTGTTAAATTAT